GTGTGTTTGCGTTAGTGTGTTTTCCTGAGTGTGTTTGTGTAAGTGTGCATGTGTGTTGTGTGTGTTTGGTTGCGTGTGTGTGTGTGATTGCGTGAGTGTGCATGTGTGTTGTGTGTGTTTGGTTGCATGGGTGTGTGTGTGTGTGTGTGTGTGTGTGTGTGTTTGCGTTAGTATGTTTTCCTGAGTGTGTGTTTGTGTAAGTGTGCATATGTGTTGTATATTTGTGTGTTTGTGAGTCTTGTTTAATGTATGGGTGTGTGTTTGTGTGAGTATGTGTGTTTATTTGCGTTAGTGTGTGTATGTGTGTTTGCATAAGTGTGTGTTTGATGTGTCGTGCTTGTGAGTGTGTATGTGTGGGTGTGCATGGGTTTATTTGTACGCGTGTTTGCGTGAGCGTGCATGCATGTTTTTGTTTGTGTGTGTGTGTGTGTGTTGTGTATGCATATGTGTGTGTTAGCATGATTATGTGTTGGGATTAAGTGTGTGTGTGTGTGTGATTGCGTGAGTGTGCATGTGTGTTGTGTGTGTTTGGTTGCATTGGTGTGTTTGTGTTTGTGTGTGTGTGTGTGTGTGTGTGTGTGTTTGCGTTAGTATGTTTTCCTGAGTGTTTGTTTGTGTAAGTGTGCATATGTGTTGTATATGTGTGTTGTAATTGTGAGTCTTGTTTATTGTATGTGTGTGTGTTTGTGTGAGTATGTTTATTTGCGTTAGTGTGTGTATGTGTGTTTGCATAAGTGTGTGTTTGATGTGTCGTGCTTGTGAGTGTGTGCATGGGTTTATTTGTACGCGTGTTTGCGTGAGCGTGCATGTATGTTTTTGTTTGTGTGTGTGTGTGTGTGTTGTGTATGCATTTGTGTGTGTTAGCATGATTATGTGTTGGGATTAAGTGTGTGTGTGTGTGTGCGCGTTGGCACTTGCTCCAATTTTACATGATCACCACTTCAAAGTGGGCACACCGTGCGTCATTATTCTTACACTATTAAACACACACACACACAAACACACAGAGACACACACACACACACACACACTAAAGTAAGATGCTTTAAACACTTTAATTTTAAAAGGCACCAAAATCACAAAAATATCTGACGTACAACTCACGCTCTATATAAACACAGCGCACATTATAAACACAATATCAGCTCATTGCACATGTCATTATTACTGGCAGGTAGACATCTGAGTCTAATTTAAACTAAACAAATGTGCACAACACTAATAATATTGGCTAGAATGGAGCTCATACATCATACAGTGACCCCAAAGGTAGGAAAATTCAAATGTCAGTGCAATAAAACGCTGCTGATTTTATTATTGTAGAGCATCATTCATTCATTCATTTTCTGTTCGGCTTAGTCTCTTTATTAATCAGGGGTCGCCATAGCAGAATGAACCGCCAACTTATCCAGCATATGTTTGATGCAGCTGATACCCTTCCAGCTGCAACCCATCACTGGGAAACATCCATACATCGTTCATACACATACACAATGGACAATTTAGTTTACCCAATTCACCTGTACCACATGTTTTCAGACTTGTGGGGGAAACCGGAGCACCCGAAGGAAGCCCATGCGAATGCGGTGAGAACATGCAAACTCCACATGGTAATGGCAACTGACCCAGCCAGAGCCCGAACCAGCGACCTTCTTGCTGTGAGGCGACTGTGCTGCACTGTAGAGTATTATTAAAGCATTAATGTCTATTAAATATATTTTGTGAATATCTGGCTTTCATTTCTAATGTTTTCCAACTTTAAAGTCGTGATTTTGTTGCACTTTTACTCGTTCTTAATCATGTCGAATATTATATATTTTTAATGAAATATACACAGTGCTCAGCATATCTGAGTACACCCCTCATTTTTTAATAGGAAGCTCTACAATATTATATTTGTGCATATACATTAGATTAGTCAGTTCTGAAGCCATATCTGGAGCTCATCTAACAAAATAACTCGAGATAACAATCCCAAAACTAGTACAGGCAAATTGATATGTTATAGAAAAATATTAAATACAAATTTTGAAAAAAGAGAAAAATCAAGAGAAGCAAAAAATTAAGAAATTTTGTAGGTTGTAATATTTTTTGTAATATTTTGCTGGAATTTAATTGTTTTATCTTTCAATTTCTAAATATGTCTGGTGACTAAAATATTATTCTAATAAATATATCTGTTTAAGAAATCTGTCTACAAATACATTGCCTATATTCACTGAGAAATGGATCAAAATATTCATTTTCAAAATGGGGTGTTCTCAATTATGCTGAGCACTGTATATATTATTATTATATTAAATATGTTAACATTTATTTGGTTTTCATTTCTTACTATTGTTTTTACTTTAATGTGTTGCACTTTAATTAGTTCCTAATTTTTTTAACATAATATATTATCATATATAGTCCTGGGTAAAAATTAATCGCGATTAATCACACCTAAAATAAAAAGTTTGTCTTGACAATTTAAGTGTACTATATATGTTTTATATATAATAACACTACCTGACAAAAGTCTTGCTGTCTATCTAAGTTTTAAGAACAGCAAATAATGACTTGTATTTGATCATTTGGTTTCAGAAGTGGCTCATATGAAAAGCAAAGGCCTCTAGATTACACTTATTTTAGCAAAAAAAAATATGATCATGCCTATATTTAATTAGGACAATAAGGTCTGACTTTGCTTGGACAAAAATCTTGTCTCTTAACAGAAGTAATGTCCAGTATAGAATATAAAGTCCTGCTGCAGTGAAAAAAATATGAATTTTGTGTCTGACTCCATCATGAGCTTGGAGGACTGCATCCATACATCTCTGCACTGACTCAAATCACTGATTAATAAAGTCATCTGGAATGGCAAAGAAAGCGTTCCTGCAGGACTCCCAGAGTTCATCAAGATTCTTTGGTTCATCTATGCCTCCTCCTTTATCTTACCCCAGACATGCTCAATAATGTTCATATCTAGTGACTGGGCTGGCCAATCCTGGAGCACCTTGACCTTCTTTGCTTTTAGGAGCTTTGATGTGGATGATGAAGTATGAGCAGAAGCGTTATCTTGCTGAAGGATTTGTCCTCTCCTCTGTGTAATGTAATGGGCAGCACAAATGTCTTGATACCTCAGGCTGTTGATGTTGATCATCCACTCTGCAGATCTCTCACACTCCCCCATACTGAATGTAACCCCAAACCATGATTTCTCCTTCACCAAACTTGACTGATTTCTTGAGAATCTTGGGTTCATGCAAGTTCCAGTAGGTCTTCTGCAGTATTTGTGATGATTGGGATGCAGTTCAACAGATGATTCAACAGAAAAATCAACCTTTTACCACTTTTCCAAATGATCAACTAAAAGTCAAGTTAATATTTGTTGCTCTTACAACTGGGATCAATGACAAGACTTTTATCAGGTAGTATAAACACATGCATGCATATATTTTTGAAAATGTTTATCTTTAGATATTATATATGTATATATACTTTTTAAAATATTTTACAAAGGATGTTTAACAGAGCAAGGGAATTTTCACAGTATGTCTGTTAATATTTTTTCTCCTGGAGAAAGTCTTATTTGTTTTATTTCAGCTAGAATAAAAGCAGTTTTAAATTTTTTAAACATAATTTTAGGGACAAAATTATTATATTTTTTTCTCAATGGTCTACAGAACAAACCATCTTTATACAATAACTTGCCTAATTCCCCTAACCTGCCTAGTTAACCAAGTTAATCTAGTTAAGCGTTTAAATGTCATTTTAAGCTGTATAGAAGTGTCTTAAAAATATCTAGTCAAATATTATTTACTGTCATTATGGCAAAGATAAAACAAATCAGTTATTAGAGCTGAGTTATTAAAACTATTATGTTTAGAAATGTGTCAATAAAATCTTCTCTCCATTAAACAGAAATTGGGGAAAAAATAAATAAGCGGTCTAATAATTCAAGGGGGCTTCAACTGTATATATATATAACTGTATATACACCCACATATGTCAAACTTTTCATTTTTATTTTGGATGCCCTTAATTGAAATGAATCTTTGCAGCACTAAATATATATAATATAAAATAGTTGATATAAAACACATACTTTTACATTATATTAGTTAACATTTAAAGTAAATTACAATAACTGAATCCTTTGCTCTTGCAGTGGCTTTAAGTGACTTATTTTGTGCATGATTCTTTAAAATGAACGCTACTGGGTTTGACATTTTGTTTTAAAGCAAAGACATTCGTGCATACGTTTTGCGGCCACTGTACAGAATTAGAACTGGGTTTGCAATCCTCATTAATGCAAAACACTGTAAGGCAATAAACATGAAACACAAGTCGCACGCCTCCATTAAAACTATAAGAACCTGAATCTCCTAAGCACAAAGCTAATCTGTAAACATGATCTCAAAGGTTTTATTTTTCTGACATCAGCGCCCTCTAGTGTCTGATCTACAACAGCACACATTTCACATTCTCATCATCAGGATCTCTTTCTGACCCTACAGGTCAATTGAGCCACTGCATGTGAAATTAAAGGGATAGTTCAATCAAAAAACGTCACTATTTATTCACTGTGGTTATAAACCTTTATGAGTTTCTGTATTCTGTTGAACACTAAAGCAGATATTCTGAAAAAAGCTGGATACCATCTTTGACTTCAATAGTAAGAATCAATGGTTACTGGTTTTCAGCATTTTTCAAAATATCTTCTTTAGTGTTTAACAGAAGAAAGAAAGTCATAAACATTTGAAACGTGAGCAAATGATGACAGCTTTTAATTTTTGGGTGAAGTACCCCTTTATTTGACAATATTCTATTCAAAGATTATTACTATGTTCATATATACAGTTAAAATCAAAATTATTCCCCCTTCTGTGAATATCTAAAATATATCTAGTCAAATATTATGTGCTGTCATCATGGCAAAGATAAAAATATCAGGTCTTAGAAATGAGTTATTAAAACTATTATGTTTAGAAATGTGTTGAAGAAAATCTTCTCTCGTTTAAATAGAAACTGGGAAACACATACAGGGGGCTAATAATTCTGACCTTAACTGTATGTATTTATATGCAGTGTTCAGACTAATGTATCACTAATATTGAATTTGAAGTTATAGCTTATTTGTGCCTACATTAGCTTATATCACTCGTTGTAATCCATGGCTTTAAATCTCCTTTAGTAAATGATCTAGTTCTCCGTCTGACCGGTTTAATCTAGTTGAGTTCTGGTGTGTCTGTGGTGGAGCGGCAGCGGCGCTTCTGTCCAGGCGGAGCTTCAGGTACGTGAGCCAGTGGATCCGGACGAATCAAAAACCTGCAGAAGATAATGAGTGAAGTTTAGATTGTAATTCTTGGCATGGAAATATCTGTGTGTGCACCGTAAAACAATCTCTTTTAGTTAAATCAAATCATCTTTGCTAGTCATCTCAACTTTGCCTAATTATCATAATTAACCTAATTAAGCCTTTAAATGTCACCTTACGCTGAATACTAGCACTGAAACATATCAAGTCAAATACGTTAGATTTAATATGTTATTATTAAGCTTATTTATTATAAAATATATGGTATATCTAGCTGTCGAAAAAGCCAGATCCCATGAGTTCAATGCTATGATATTGGTTTACCTAATATTCAGGGGCAAAATTACTAATAAAATTAATAGATGAATTAAAAAGAATCCACATTGGATTTACTGATATTATTACATAAATCTAATTTTTATTTGTTTCATTTTTGTTCAACTAACAAGAATTAACCACAAAGTTTATAAGCTCAATTATGTTAAAAGTTTGAAATCCAAAGGAAGGGAAACTTTATATGCAATCAGAGTACATACTTCCTATTCGCTAGGCCTAAATCTTTGTTGGAGTGAAGTATCCTGCAAAATATAAAGTAAAATCTGATGTTCTGTCGTCATCATGGGAAAAACAAAAGAAATTAGTTAATAAAAAATATTGTTTGAAAATGTGTTGAAATTAATCTGATCTCTGTTAAACAACACTGAATTATTTGAAAATGAATTTAAAAAAAAATTATTTTCTCCTATGTAAACCTGACACGCAATAAATTCAATTCAATTCAGCTTTATTTGTATAGTGCTTTTACAATATAGATTGTGTCAAAGCAGCTTCACTTAAATGGTCATAGTAACTGGAACAGTGTAGTTCAGTTTTTAGTGTTTAAGTTCAGTTCAGTTCAGTTTAGCTCAGTTCAGTGTAATTTAATTTAATTTAATTTAATTTAATTTAATTTAATTTAATTTAAATGTGACCAAATGTCAACAATAAAACCTAAAAAGGCCTACAGTTTAAGTACTTAAGTGATGGTCTTCTTGCACAGATGCAACAAGGGACAAATGATTGATTTTGTGGAATAGTTTAGGCAAAATGTACACCCACTGGCCACTTTATCAGGTACTCTCCAACTGCCCGATAAAGCAAATTTCTAATCAGCCAATCACATGGCAACAACATGCATTTTGGCATGTAGACATGGTCAAGACGATTTGCTGTAGTTCAAACCGAACATCAGAATGGGAAGGAAAGAGGATTTAAGTGACTTTGAACATGGCAACCCAGACGGGCTGGTCTGGGTATTTCAGAAACTGCTGATCTACTGGAATTTTCATGCACAAACATCTCTAGGCTTTACAGAGAATGGTCTGAATAGGAGAAAATATCCAGTAAGTGGCAGTTCTGTGGGTGCAAATGCCTTGTTGATGCCAGAGGTCAGAAGAGAATGGCCAGACTGGTTCCAGCTGATAGAAAGGCAACGGTAACTCAAATAAGCACTCGTTACAACTGAGGTCTGCAGAAGAGCATCTCTGAACACACAACATGTCCAACCTTGAGGCAGGTGGGCTACAGCAGCAGAAGACCACACCGGGTGCCACTCCTGTCAGCTAAGAACAGGAAACTGAGGCTACAATTCACACAGGCTCACCAAAACTGGACAATAGAAGATTGAAAAAACGTTGCCTGCTCTGATGAGTCTCCATTTCTGCTGTCATATTCGGATGGTAAGGTCAGAATTTGGCATCAACAATATGAAAGCATAATGGTGTGGGGGATATTTTCTTGGCACACTTTGGGCTTACTAGTATCAATTGATCATTGTGTCAACGCCACAGCCTATCTGAGTATTGTTATTGACCATGTCCATCTCTTTATGACCACAGTGTACCCATCTTCTGATGGCTACTTCCAGCAGGACAATGCACTCATGTTATAAAGCGTGAATCATCTCAGATTTCTTGAACATAATTGAGTTCACTGTACTCAAATGGCCTCCACAGTCACCAGAGCTCAATCCAATAGAGCACCTTTGGGATGTGGTGGAACGGGAGATTCACATCATGGATGTGTAGCCGACAAATCTGCAGCAGCTGTGTGATGCTATCCTGTCAATATGGAGCAAAATCTCTGTAGAATATTTCCAGCACCTTGTTGAATCTACGCCATGAAGGATTAAAGCAGTTCTGAAGGCAAAAGTGCGTCCCAACCTGGTACTAGTAAGGTGTACCTAATAAAGTGGCCAGTGAGTGTACACTTCCAGATAATATATTCACTCCCAGGCCATCCATATGATTTTTTTAAGTAACGAAACTGTGGTTCTTGGTTGATTCATAGTCATGCTATGACTTTGACTAAAAGCCCAAATTTAGCATTGTTTTAACTATGACATCTATGTTTGGATGTCTAATAAATGTCTTTTAAACACAAAATCTTGTATTTCTAAAAATCGATTTTTATTATCTATTATAATATACTTACGCCTTACAATTCATTTTAAATATGATGCAGCTCATAAGAATATATGCACTTGAGTATATTTGTGTGTTTTGTGTCAGAATGCTTTACATACACGACATCATTGAGCTGCAGCAGTGTGTCGGGGGCGGGGTTTATGAGCACATATGAGATGGAGTTCTGCTGGTCATTCAACTCATCTGCAACAGAGATTGGTGGAAACACCTGTCACTCAAGAAGCATGGGCGTGGCTAAAGTTTAACAGGAAAAGGCGAAGAGCAAGTAGAAATGAAAGTTAATGCCACAATGTAAGACACTGCAAATTGTTATGTGCTATGTTGCATGAGTTAGAGGTCAAACTTAAGGATGTGCTTTTACACATAGAAAGGAATAAGGGATTTAAATCCTCACGGAGTATGAATATGGCTTGCATGAGTTTAAAGGGGACCTATTATGCCACTTTTTCCAAGATGTAAAATAAGATTTGATGTACCTAGAGTGTTTATGTGAAGTTTCAGCTCAAATTAACACACAAATAATGTTTTATAACTCTCTGAAACTGCCCTTTTTTAGGCTTTGATGATAACTGTGCTGCGTGAATGACTGTCACTTTAAATTCAAATGAGATTGTGCTCTTTTCAAAAGAGGGCAGGGCTACACATGCCAATGTGTCAGTATAGTGGCAGATTTAAAATTCAATCTAACAATCTATGCTAATGAGGGAAAGATGGGGACTAGTAGGCGGGGCTTTCCCCTTCTGATGACACGTACAAACGGAGAATGTCAATCAAAGTGTTTTTCTTATCAAGTGTGATTATAAAAGATAGAATTAATTAATTTTTACCATTAGAGACTGACTATAATCACACACTATTGTCGCGCAACTGTCTTTAAACCCCCTATAAAAGTGGTTTTTGCAAAATAGGTCCCCTATAAATAAATTAAATAGAGCAAAGGATGACTTTTACCTTGCAAATAGCCCAAATTAACCCGATTCATCACATCACTGGCTGTTAAATTTGTGACATCTTCTAAACCAATGGAAAAAAGTGCAAGACAGAAAACAAAGTATTTTTTTAGTCAAAGTTCAAGTCTGGAAACATCATTAATGACATTGTTTTTTTCCATAACTATAAATGTAACCACTTATTCGGGATACCACATTTGCAGTTTCATTTCCCTAATCTCACACAGTCAAGTGAAATATGATATGAGAGAAAAGTAGGACAGGGCTTGATTTTATCCATCAGGAATTTGCAAAAAGAGAGGGTCGTGGTGGTTACAGCCTCTTTATCATGCAAAAAATAAACATTTTGAATTGGATAGATCCTCCAGTTTGCTATGTTAGATTAAAAAGTTCACCCCCAAAAATATTTGATTATAATTTACTCCAACTTTACTTGTTCCAGACTTTTTATAAGTTTCTTTCTTCTTTTGAACACTAATAAAGGTATTTAGAAAAACACTAGTAACCACTAACATAGCATTTGTTTTCCTGATTAAAGTTTCCCTTATTAAAGTCAATGGTTACAGATTTCCAGCATTTTTCAAAATATCTTCTTTTGTGTTCAACCGAAGGAAGAAACTCGTATAGGTTTGAAAGGAACCATTTAAAGGTGAGTAAATAACATAGACTGTAAATAATATGGACGCAGTATCAGTGACGTCACCCATAAGCTTCTGAAGAGCGCAAATAACGCTAACAGTGGGCGTGGCCTACAGTTGCCATTTTGTGTGAGCATCATCACGCTGAACGCAGGCAACCAAACATGGGCAAATAGACGGAGCATTAGCGGAGCTATGGATGCCTGCTAATCAGTGGCGGTTCTAGACCAGAGCAACTGGGGGGGGCCGGGCAGGGGCCACTTGTACTTTTGGGGGCACACTTTAACATACATCACAAACTACTTAAACAATTATTCGAAATCATTTTTTTCATGCATAACTCTGTAGTCTAGTTAAGCTAGTTAAATAACTTAAACTCAAAATAATCTTTCATGTTAATTTATTTGACAAGTAAATTTGTATTGTAGGGTAACACGTTTTTTAACATTCAAGTACATCAAGGATTTGTATTTTTGCACATGTAAACTTTACCAGATACAGTTCAAGTCAATTTTTTTGCCCTCACATTAATTTAAAATTATGTTTTCCAAGTGATCTCTAACAAACCAAGGAAATGTTCACAGTATATTCTATAAAACAAGAATAATTCTTCTGGAGTCATAATACGTTTTTTTTTCTTACAGCTTGTCTTGAATAAAAGCAGTTTTTAATAAAAAAAAATGAAATAAAAAATAAAAAATTAAGGTCAGTATTATTAGCCTCCTTAAGAAATATTTACTGTGTATTTTTGATTGTCTACACAACAAACCAGTCATACAGTTAAGTCACTTTAATCTGAATACAACTGTCATTCAAAATAACTAGTCAAATATTATGCACTGTCACCATGGGAAAGACAAAAAAGTAGCTAGTTATTAGAATAGTTAAACAATTATATTTAAAAATGTGTTGTAAAAAATCCTGTGTTTGAAGACTCGTGCTTTATGTCAGGACTGAAAAAAAAAAACGAATGAAGGCAAAACTAAACGTTGAATATTACTTTTACACAAACGTAACTGAAACTGAAGTTTTATCAACGCGTTACATCCGTTCTCTGGTACTTGCAGACTGTTTGTAAATTCAAGACTGCATTTATTAGCTTAAAATTATGTACACTCAATTTCTGATTAGTAATAGCCTCTGCATAGCCGAGGACTTCCTATATTTAAAGTCTAATATATTCAACAGCGGACGTTTTGATAGTTTTTCACAACATGAACAAGACTGAAGTTAAATTTTTCTTATTACCTGTGTCAATGTGGGGCTTAATTTCTGATGAATGCGGCAAACTGATGCGCGCAGCACCGTCACTGACAAAAGTCAAGGGAAAGCAGAGAGAGGGGGAATGTACGTGACACAGAGAGCATGCGAGAGAGGCCTCAGTCATATTGCAGTCTGCTGCCAATGGCTGATCTCGCTTCTCAGTGGCGTTTTAGTTTTGACACAAACATAAGCCACCAAAAAAGCCAAGGGGGGGTAGGGGGGGTAGGATGGGTCAAAGCTTGTTGACAAGGGGGCACCGGCCCCCCCTGGCCCTCCTAGAACCGCCACTGCAGCTAATATTTTGCTTAGATGGGTTTTTTTGGGGATGAAACTTTTAATACTTCATTACCTGTGACTCGCTTGTGTTTTGACCACATGTACTTGGTTGTGTACTCTATTAATAAAGCGTTAAGTCTTTTAAAAACACTGCTGTAATACATTGAGCCTCTAAGTATTGTTCTAATGACATTTTTCTACATGAGGAAAACGCAAATTACTTGCAAATACTTTACAAATATAGTCTGTGTTAGTGAATGCAAGGCTATTTATAAAATCAGATGACTGTTCTAGAAATTTCAATAATGAGACTTTCATTCACTTTGGAAAAGGAGGTCACTTGAATGGTTTGTGAGCACAATAAAGTGCATACAGCATGCCATATTATCTGATAACTGTAAGAAATAATTCCAAAAGGCAATTGACTGTGTGAAGCAAAATAAAACAAAACCAAAAAACAATATATATGCCGAGCTCAGCGGCTAATCAGCCGGAATAAGCTGTGACATGATGGTGACCGGCGAGAACTAGCTGTCACTCAAGTGGCCATGCCCTTATTTATGCAGACCTAATATAACTCAACATAATTGAGTAATAATAAATGATGAGTTATGAAAGAATTCACCCCCTCACAGTTGTCATGAAGGGTAATATTAGCCTAATGGCCATTTAGCATAGCACTCAGTGAACTTCTAGAGTTCCTGGAGCCAGCCCCCAAAGGCCAGTCCATGAATTGCAATTTCAGTTACTTCCGTATTAACTTCACGAGAGAGAACGGGATGTTGCCGCTTAGTAAATAGTGAGTACATTTCATATTTGGTGAACTATCCCTTTAAAAATAAATAAATTATGCTAATATAATATTAACGAGGAAAGAAGCATGGCTTACTGTATCCGCCAGTGTGCAGGCCTAAATGCTGCATGCGGTTTCTGACCAGTTCAGTAAGCTCCTCCCTCTCAGAGCGCCGTAACACACCCAGACGCTGCTGGATGGAGCTGAGGGAGGAGTCGCTCCGCTTTACACTCCGCCTACTGAGACGTCTTGTCCAATGCATGCTCTTCTTTCTCAGCAGTGGGTGATCTGATTGGTCGCTGCTTGAGGAGCTCCGGGTGAGGATCTTTGACTCCTCGCCTTTCTCTCTAGTGTCGTTTAAACCGTCTATGCTGACTGAGCTTTGAAGCTGGAGGCAGTGGTAACCATGGAAACACACAAAACAATTGAAAATATTAAATTCTGCATCTATACACTACACAGTATATATATTTAAATGTATTCTGCTTTAACATTATTTCTGTAATATTATCGATACGCAAATGTATAGATGATACAATGCAGTTCGTAAAGTAACATTTTCTTGGTTTCTTTGTAGATATGTATATGAGACCCACTGTAACTTTTTAAGTTTGATTTGTATTGTAAAACTTTAACAAAAGTTTCATGCATTTAGCTTATGTACTCTACTTAAAAAAACATTATTTATACATTCACTTATTTATTTATTTATTTATTTATTTAATTGCAAAATTCCACACAAACACTGCAAAACCAATTCAGCAGAAGGATGGACAGACAGTCTGATAGATAGATAAATAAACGGATGTGCAGACAGACACAGACAGACAGACAGACAGACAGAGAGACAGACAGACAGATAGATAGATAGATAGATAGATAGATAGATAGATAGATAGATAGATAGATAGATAGATAGATAGATAGATAGATAGATAGATAGATAGATAGATAGATAGACAGACTGATAGACAGACAGATACACAGACAGACAGACTGATAGACAGATACACAGACAGACAGACAGACAGACAGACAGACAGACAGACAGACAGACAGACAGACAGACAGACAGATAGATAGATAGATAGATAGATAGATAGATAGATAGATAGATAGATAGATAGATAGATAGACAGACTGATAGACAGACAGACAGACAGACAGACAGACAGACAGACAGACAGACAGACAGACAGACAGACAGACAGACAGATAGATAGATAGATAGATAGATAGATAGATAGATAGATAGATAGATAGATAGATAGATAGATAGATAGATAGATAGATAGACAGACTGATAGACAGACAGATACACAGACAGACAGACAGACAGACAGACAGACAGACAGACAGACAGACAGACAGACAGACAGACAGACAGACAGACAGACAGACAGACAGATAGATAGATAGATAGATAGATAGATAGATAGATAGATAGATAGATAGATAGATAGATAGATAGATAGATAGATAGACAGACTGATAGACAGACAGATACACAGACAGACAGACTGATAGACAGACTGATAGACAGATACACAGACAGACAGACAGACAGACAGACAGACAGACAGATAGACAGATAGATAGATTGATAGATAGATAGATAGATAGATAGATAGATAGATAGATAGATAGATAGATAGATAGATAGAAACACAAGCAGACAGACACAGATACATACACAAGCAGACAGACAGACAGACAGACAGACAGAGAGATAGACAGACAGACAGACAGACAGACATGTACCTCAGGTGGTGCGTGTGATTCTGTGCGGTAGATTCCGATGGGAATCTCTGAACTGGATGAGCAGAACTTCTGGAAGAGTCTCCCGTATGTGCGGATCCAGAGATCAGCCTCACATATGTGCATCTACACACACATTAATATATTCTTAATAAAGGTGAATAAATACAATATAAATGTAATTGCTAATTATTTGTTCATAATACATTATCTAAGGCAGGCGTGTCCAAACTCGGTCCTGGAGGGCCGGTGTCCTGGAAAGTTTAGCTTCAACCCTAATCAAACACACCTGAACCAGCTAATCAAGCTCTTACTAGATATACAAGAAACTTCCTGGCAGGTGTGTTGAAGCAAGTTGCAGGTAAACTCAGCAGGACACCGGCCCTCCAGGACCGAATTTGGACACCCTGATCTAAGGGAACCTTATTGTAAATAAGCAACAGCATTCTGACCAACTGCATTACTGTATGGTATGGCAACACTACTGTAAAGGACCGCAAACGTCTGCAGAGAGTGGTGATGACTGGAAGATCATCAGGTCCCCACTGCCTTCTCTGCAGACTATCTACCATCACAGAGTCCACAAGAGAACTGCCTCCATCCTGAAAGACCCCACTCACCCACAACACAGATCATTCACACTCCTACCCTCAGGGCGGAGGTACAGGAGTGTGAGATGCAGGACTGCCAGACTCAAGAACTCTTTCTTCCCATCAGCTATCAAACTTCTAAACAGATAACCAATGCACATAACAGTTTCTTTTTCTGCTCAGTACAACACTACATTCTCCATCCCAGTTTGCACTATTTTTTGCACAAAAGCCAATTGCACTAGGCACTTTTTGCATAATAAGCACAATTTAAGAACCACTGTACATTGTTTACATCTGTTTCATTACTTAAATCTGTTTTATATATTGTTTACTTTCATAGATATTTATATACTTATATACATATTTATATAAGTATATATATATTTATATTTATATACTTTATAATCATACTTCAGTCACTTCTGTGTATATATGTGTATTTATGTGTATGTTGTGTATGTTGTGTATGTTGTGTGTATGACTTCACTGTGTTTGCACTGTGTGCAAAGTAAGAATCTCATTGTACAGGGAAACGTGTTTCCTTACTGTGCACATGACAATAAACAGTTGAACTGAGTTGAATTGAATTGTAAAGTGTTACTTATATCCCACTGCAGTGAAAAATAAAGCTGCAATAATAATCTGAATGTTTTTTTTTCTCAATGCTGCAGCCCTAGTCAAAAAGACGTTTTAGAATAACTGTACTTGTCAATGGTTGAACCTATATAGTGCACCATTGGGAAACACAATTGCCTCAAGGAAGTAGTCATCGGGTCTGCAGAAAATAAAAAACACTCACAGCACACAGGTATCCAGATCCAGGTGTGGTGTCCAATCCCAGCAGTAATCTGGCTATGGGGATCATGTAGTCCTTCACAAAACACTCACACACAAAACAAAACACAAAGTAATCATAACATAAATCACAAAGCTGTTTTCAACACTGATGATAATGTTGCTGTTTTTTTCTTGATTAGCAAATAAGCATATTAGAAAACTTTATGATAGATCATGTGACCCTGAAGACTGTAACAATAATGACGTAACAATACAGAAGACTCAGCCTTGCAGAACAGGAATAAATGAGGTTTGAGGTTATTATAAATAGTAAAAATATTCCAGAAAGCTTTTACTGCAATTTGCGAAAATAAGTGTTATATGTTAAATAAGTCAACATCAATAATATACAAACAAACATTTTTGGATTTTTGGAAATATCATAATATGTTTGCAGATATGTAAGAAACATGCTAAGTGAACATTCTTGTTTATCTGAAAAACATTGCAGAAGTCAGATATTCTGCTTTCAGGATGTGTGTTCTGTGCTGGAGTGTCTGTCTTTGCTTTGGTCTCTATAACCAGCCCACTGCCAATTTATCCAATTATAGTTCAGCACAGCAGGTTGCAGAGGTTAAGAACTTGAGTCACATGACTTGAGTCACGACTTATATGGAAAAATTTTGACTTGAGACTTGCTTGACAAATATTCATTCATTCATTTTCTTGTCGGCTTGGTAACTTTATTAATCTGGGGTCATCACAGCGGAATGAACCGCCAACTTATCCAGCACGTTTTTATGCAGCGGATGCCCTTCCAGCCGCAACTCATCTCTGGGAAACATCCACAAACAATCATTCACACACACTCATACACTATGGACAATTTAGCCTACCCAATTCACCTGTACCGCATGTCTTTGGACTGTGGGGGAAACCAGAGCATCCAGAGGAAACCCACGCGAACGCAGGGAGAACATGCAAACTCCACACAGAAACACCAACTGAGCCGAGGATCGAACTAGCGACCTTCAGTGAGGCAACAGCACTACCTACTGCGCCACTGCTTTACCCCTGCTTGACAAATATATATATAAAAAAGACTTGACTTGTGACTCGAGACTAGACTTGAATTTGTTATTTCGATTGGAGATGCGCCGCTATAGTCCTCAACTACTGTATTTTAATCTAAAAGTTCAGGTAAATCATCAAGCGTGAATGACTTGACAGTTCATCCAAGCTACGACTTGTCTTGCTTGAAATAAGCGAAGACTTGACTTGCTTTAGTCTCACATGAATTGACTTGACATGCTTGAGACTTGAAGGTTAAGACTTGACATATGTGGACATGGCCTTACTCCCACCTCTGCTGGATTGTCCTGGAGAAAATTCCTTTAATTCAATTAAAAAAGATATTTAAGTTAATTTAATTCTTGAAGACTTCCACAATACAGTGGGAGAAATAAGTATTGAACATGTCAGCATTTTTCTCAGAAAACATATTTTTAAAGGTGCCGTTCACCTGATGTTGGTAACAACCAAAAAAATCCGAAAAAAACAGGGAAAATGTATTGAACACATGAAGGAAGGGCGGCGTATAAAGGCAGTGAAAGCCCAGACAGCAGCCGAAGTCTCTCAGCAGTTGTTCAACAACCCTCTGCCCTTCTATGAGAGGCGTTTTTAGGCTGCCGTCTACAAACAAGCCTTTTATATAAACTATTAAATACAATTCATGACTTTCTCCTTGTTTCTGTGCATTGCTATTACACATAACTCAAATTTTGTTTTATTTTTGTTTGTATTGTTTGGGTTTTTATTAAAATATGGTTCAATTCCATGTCAACAGATCCTTTAGAAATATTATTTCCAGGAAAAAACATGACGTGTTCAATATTTATTTCCCCTACTGTATATACAGGCACAGCTGAATATGTGACCACCAGAAAACAGCAGCAGTCGCCGAAAAGATAATTACTTTTATTTGCAAACATTACAAATGTACAAAAGTAAATATTAGTTGATCAGCTTAGATCAAGATTGTGTCGTCAAATCTGACAACATGTGTATGGGTCAAGTTGGAAGAGGAATGACTGGGTGTCATGGTTCGGTGAGGGGAAAAAGGATCGAGGACCCAAATGCAGAGTGAATGGTTATTTATCCATAATAAAATAAAATCAAAGGCAAAATAAACAACCCCGAGGTGGAAAAACATAAGTAATACAAAATGGTAAACAAACTTGGCTGGGCTGGCAATACAGGACTGAAGCACGAACACTAGAGGGTATAGACGAACTGGCACATGACAGCAGACATGAGGGGAATATAAACAGAAGTAAATTAACTCACAAACAGATGAACACAATTAACTAATAATGGGTTAACAAGGAGGGTGGGACTAGACAATAGATGGGAGAGCACATGACACAAAGAGACAACACAGGCCATGCGCTCACATAAACACGCAGCCAATGAAAGAACTCATTAACTGCATGTACATGACAACATACACCACGTGCTAAACACAACACCAATAGAAGACTGATCGCAAGACACGAGTACACGATGAATGAAAGCACTCATCGTGCACTCACACACACAGCGTGCATGTTTCATCCCAGCGCCGACAGAAACCGAAACCAACTGGACTGAGACGCTGGGAATAAAACACCACGCTGCAGACAGACTAACGTGAACACCCGGACGAGAGAGCGCACCTGCAAACACGCAAAGGCCTCACGCGTCCACATCAAGCGGGTCCATGCGCGTTCACAAATGACGCTCATACAGAGACACACACACACACGACAAAACAAGTGACTAGACAGAGCTAGTGTCTGGACTCTGCCACCAAAACAAGAATTTACAAGACCAGAGTGGCAGAACCCTGACACTGGGCGAATAAAAAACCCTGTCCAATATTTTGAATTTGTACTGCAATACCTAGATGTTAATCCTACATACTGCACCTTTAAAGACACGCATTTACCTGGTACAGGAGTGTGTCCAGCATGCTGATACTGAAGACTCGGCCAGCAGCAAAGGGAAGGCGAAACATGAAGGCCAGATTTGAGCCTTTGTCACGTTCCTTCTGTTGATCGAACACACATTTGGCAATATTCCAATTACAAAACTACATTTTTCAATCAGCATATGCAAACATTTTTGTCTCACCTTCTCTAGTTTGGACAGGGCGAGCGAGTAGCAGTCCTTCGCTCTGAACTGCATGAATCTCATGTTGGACGGGTGAGTCAGTTCTGTGATTATACTGAGACTCGGAAACAACCTGGAGAAACGGTAAACCAGAGTATTGCAATATTATTTACATGTGTGCATTTGGCAGACAGCATTATCCAAAGGGACTTACATTGCATTCAAGTACAATGAATTATGAGTTCATAACACTTACACTCCATCTTACAAGGACTGAATAAGACAAACAATGTCTACCTATAAGTGTACGACAAATCATATTGCACTACTTGTTTTTTTCAACCTTAAATAGCTCCTTTGAACAACATCTTGCACAATATTGTTCTGTTTCATGTAAAAGTACTTGTATAGTCTGTCTTAGTTTATGTGTATAGTTTAAGTATGTACAGTATACAGTATGTATAGTTAAACTACCGTTCTCTGTTATGTTGATTATGTATATAGGTTTAGCTTTTAACATCCAGCGTTGTGTTCATATTTATGATTATGTTCATTTATATAGCACACATGTAGTGGAATGACAATGTTATGCTAATTATGTCACTGTTTATTAATGTAATCAAGTGGTTTTTCTCTCACCTGAACATGGTTTGCACATTGACGATGGTTTTAGCGTCAGCCATATAGTCTTCCTCTGCACTCATCGTGCTTTCTTTGTCAACAACCACTAGATTATCAGCATACAGAACGCCACACTGCAATAGGCTGTCCAAGCTGTCAAGCACATAAATATCCAATCAGATTTAAATTGGCTGCCAAAAATAGGGCTGCATGATTTATAGAATAAAAAAAATCACTGTATGACTTGAAAAATGCAAGAGCTATGATTTCTTCAAATAATATATGTGCAGAAAATTATTGTTATTCAATGTTATTGTGATTATTACTATTATAGTCATGAATACACTATTTAAATACAATGCAAATTGCAATACAGAAACATAAATAATATAAAAATCCCAATGTAATTTTAAAATGCGATAGAAATAATATAAAATATGCAATAGAAATGTACAAATCCATTGTAAATCAATATGAAAATATAATACAAAAAAGCACTATAAATACTATTTCATATAAAAAATAAATAAAAATCCCATACAGAACGCAACACTGCAATAGGCTGTCCAAGCTGTCAATCACATAAAAATCCAAAATTGTATCTATAGATTATATAAATCAATATGCAATATATATAAATACAAAAAAAGCACTATAAAAATATTCACATAAATATATTTAAAAATCCCCATGCAATGCAATATAAAACATAGTGTAATATAGTCCTTTCTTTGTCCACCACCACTAGATGGCTGTCTGGCAACTGGCTGTCAAACATAGGGCTGCAAGATTAATAGAATATAAGAGGAATCACTATATGACTTGAGCTATGATTTTTATGATTTGAAATAACTGTCTTACTTTACAATGAAATATTACAAAATAATAATTTTGTTTTACTCTATTCAATGTTGTTGTTATTTTATTATTATTATTATTATTATTATTATTATTATTATAGTCACACCTGCACTAATCAGATGAAATGCAAATTGCAATACAAAAATAATATAATATAAAAATAATATAAACAATATAAAAATTCTGATAAAATCTTAAATTGCAAGATAAATAGTATAAAATATGCAATAGAAATGTACAAATTCCATTGCAATGCAATATAAAAATACCATTAATATTACAAAAAAGCACTATAAATACTATTCTATACATAAACTGTACAGAACGCCAATAGACTGTCCAAGCTGACAATCACATAAACATCCAATCCAATACATCCAATCATGTACAAATAAATTTGAACTGTATGTCAAATATAGGGCTGCATAATTAATAGAGTAAATCACTATATATGTATATAGATTATTCACTATATGACTTGAGCTCTGATTTATATGATTTAAAATAATATATGTGCAATTACACTTTAAATATTTTACCATGAAATATTACAACATAATTATTTTATAACCAAATATAATTTTAGTATAATATAAACATAATATAATTTTAATTGATGTTACTATTATTGTCATCATCATCATCATCATCATCATCATCATCATCATTATAACTAGACTATTCAAATGCAATGCAAATTGCTATATAAAAACACTAATTATATAAAACTCCAATGTAATCTTAAAATCCACCCAAAGAAAACCCAAATAAATATAATAATAATAATAATAATAATAATTATTATTATAAATATATATATACAGTTGAAGTCAGAATTATTAGTCCCCCTTTTAATTTATTTTCCTTTAAAAAATTTGGTCCAAATGATGTTTAACAGGAAGAAAATTTTCACAGTATGTCTGATAATATTTTTTCTTCTAGAGAAAGTCTTATTTGTTTTATTTTGGCTAAAATAAAAGCAGTTTTTAATTAAAAAAAAAAAACATTTTAGGGACAAAATTATTAGCCCTTTTAAGCTTTTTTTTTTTTTGATAGTGTACAGAACAAACCATCATTATACAATAACTTGTCTAATTACCCTAACCTGCCTAGTAAACCTTATTAACCTAGTTGAGCCTTTAAAAGTCACTTTAAGCTGTATAGAAGTGTCTTGAAAAATATCTAGTCAAATATTATTTACTGTCCTCATGGCAAAGATAAAATAAATCAGTATTAGAAATGAGTTGTTAAAACTATTATGTTTAGAAATGTGCGGAAAAAATCTTCTCCCAGTTAAACAGAAATTGGGAAACAAAAATAAACAGGGGGGCTAATAATTCTGACTTCAACTGTATATATATATATACTGTATATATATATTCAATAGAAATATAAATAATATAAAAATCCCAATGACATGTCATTAAAAAAATACAATAGAAAATAAACTCTTATATCATATAAACAATATAAAAGATAAAGAATGCAATAATAATCCAACCACAAAATATTGTATCCTTAAATTGTGCAATTGTGTAGCTTTACTTGTCAATGGTGCCACCCATATAATACACCATTGGGAAGCAGGATATGGCCTCAAGGAAGTGGTCATCGGGTCTGCAGAAGGTAGAGCACATTCAGAACACTTATTAAAACACACATGAGATAAATGTCTATAGGTCTCTGTGTGAGTGTGCACTTACAGGTTGTCTAACAGCAGGACTATAGGGTTGAGTTCTCTTCTGGGCCTGTAATAGGCTCTTAAAGGCACTATGAAGTTGTAAAGGCCGTTTCCAGCCGTCTCCGCAGAAACGATAATTAATTTATTTTTGAAGCCGTATGCTTTTGCGTCTTCAAAGGAAACATGCTCACAGCTCTACAACAGAAACAAGTATGATAATAATAGGGAAATGCTGAAATAATAATAATGATGAAGTGGTCCATTACAGCAGCACGGTGGCTCAGTGGTTAGCACTGGTGGTTTCCCACATAGCAAAATTTCTCTGGCCCAGCTCTGGCCCACACAATCAGGTTTTGCTTGGCCCACATGCCGCAGGGAATTACGGTACATGACTGGACCAAATCTGGCTTCCAGACAAGGGCCAAACACGGACCATATCTGGGCCAAGTCTCAGCCAAGTTAATAACTCATAACTGGGCCAGATAGGTTGGTGTGTCACGATTGCAATGAAATTGATAAACCCATGGAGTGATGCGCTTTAGGCACACTATGGGCACGCTTTTTCTCAAAGTGACCTGATTGGTAGAATTTTTTTTCTTTACTCAAAAATGATTTTAGTGTATTTTAAATGTGGGTCAAGACTGGACAAACTCAAATGGTCCACTTATCAAAGTTTTAAATCTGGGCCAAATACTACGTTTTTCATCTGGCCCAAATCTTGTGTGCCGCCTTAAAGACGGTGCCACCTCTGCCAAACCCGGGCCATGTTTGGCCCACATGCTGTATGCCAGTGCCGGATGAATGCCTGCTGTGCCAGCTTTATGCCAAATCTGGGCCAGAATTCTATGCTACTAGGGTTGAGTCCCGGCTGGACCAGTTGGCATTTCTGTGTGGAGTTTGCATGTTCTCCCCGTGTTGGCGTGGGTTTTCTTCCGGGTGCTCCGGTTTCCCCCACAGTCTAAACACATGCACTATAGGTAAATTGGATTAACTAAATTGGCCATAATGTAATGCCGAGTTCAGACTGCATGATTTTCAAAGTAGTCGTGTCACAGATGTTTTCTCACTGCATGACTATCTGGGCTAGTGTTTTGTCTCTGCTTTGTTTACACTGCAAGATGGATCGGCGACAGGGGCTTTCACACTGCAATGCTTTACAATAGGAAGAATCGCCGACAACTTTGTCCAAACTACGTCTCACAACCAAAAACATGTAGTATATTTTTTGTTATTAACTACATGACGAGAAAGAAGCCTTTAATGGGGTAGAAAATGTTCATATTTGCTCACCTGGGTTTGAAGGGAATTAGCAATTTCTCCTCAACTTTCTTTTTTAACTTTCTGTATGAAACGTCAAACAGACACAAGTGCTCCTGTCAAACCTCCACTAGTTTTTCCTCCATTTCTTGGGTCCAAATAAACCGAAAATGAGCGCTTTTAATTTTCCCCCCAGCCTCCCGCTGGCCAGCAGGTACACACACACACACAAACAAGTGGATGCTGCTTGTCGGTGCCAGTGGTGTAGTGGTTAGTGCGTCGACACATGCACTCCAGTGCTCACAGCGACCCGAGTTCGAGTCCACCCTGCGGGTCCTATGCCGCTCCTTCCCCTTACTCTGCTCCCCATGCTTTCCTGTCAATTCTCTACTGTCCTATCACAATAAAGATGAAAACCCCTAAAACATAATTATAAAAAAAAGTGGATGCTGCTCTCTCATTGGCTGTAGGTGATCGGCGAAGTTATTTTCAGTCAAAACTCATTTCACAAAGCATGATTTGAATCGCCGACAGCTCCAGATATTTAGCATGCCAAATATCTCACAGGCATCGGCGGCTCATCTGGGATGCTCTCAGATCATTGATAGTTCATACTGTGTGATGGTCACTCACCTGCACAAGCACCGATTTGCCTGTGATTTCAGGCATTTGTCTGCGATTTCTCGAAACCTGTCGGCCAGTCAAAATCGGGGCTAAAATCATGCAGATTGAACTAGGCATAGGAGTCTGTGTGGAGGAGAGTTTGTATGGGTGTTTCCCAGTACTGGGTTGCAGCTGGAAGGGCATCCGCTGCGTAAAACATATGCTGGAATAGTTGGCGGTTCATTCCACTATGTCAACCCCTGGTATATAAGGGACTAAGCCGAAGGAAAATAAATGAATGCATGGTCCAATATAATGTGCATATTATATTGTGCAGGTATAATATTTAGATGTCTTGAGGATCACTGCTCACCTGGTCAAGCCGTAAACAGCAGAAAGGGGCTTTCTGAGGTAAAAGATGGCAAAGGGTTGGAGAGCTCCCAATATATGGAGAGTTCGGGGGATAACCTTTCACAAAACTGAGGAAAACAACATTAAAATACATGTTAACCCTTAAACAGGCATTAACCATACACTAAATCAGGGGTCTCAAACTCGCGGCCCGCGGGCCATTTGCGGCCCTCAGTGCAATATTTTGTGGCCCACGCCGACCGCTGTACACTGACAGAATCAGCGGAGCGGGGAGAGAGAGCGCTCCCCGCTCCGCTGATTCTATCCGTACACAGCGGTCACCGGCATTCCCCACCCACCGTGTAAACAAAGGGGCGGGGGTGCCGGTGACGTCACCACGCACCCCGCCCCTTTGTTAGACGCTGTGACGGGCGGGAAGTGTTAGGAGGGAACTCGCGCCGGCCAGAACCAAGGTAAGCAGTTCCCGCCCCTGCCTGCCACTTAGCTACCTATCTGCAGCCTGCCACCTACCTAGCTACAGCCTGCATCTTATATATATTACAGGTAGATACAGACTGGTGCAGACTGATGTGACTGGAGTGGGGTGGGGGTGTTTTATTTATACATATATACGCCTTTTTTTTAGGTGAGGCCAGGCACGTGCACACATAGGGCTCAACCTGTGCAGTGCACATGCCCTTTTTATTCTTGGATAGAAAGTGCCCTTCCAAAGTGATCAAAAGTGCCCCCGCGACGCGGCACACCTTCGGTCCCGCCCTTCAGTAGGCGCGAGACAACACCGCTCTTGAGTACGCGAGCGACAACACAGCTGATCAGTACGCGCGCGACAACACAGCTGATCAGTACGCGCGCGACAACACAGCTGATCAGTACGCGCGCGACAACACAGCTGATCAGTACGCGCGCGACAACACCGCTCTTCAGTACGCGCGCGACAACACCGCTCTTCAGTACGCGCGCGACAACACCGCTCTTCAGTACGCGCGCGACAACACCGCTCTTCAGTACGCGCGCGACAACACCGCTCTTCAGTACGCGCGCGACAACACCGCTCTTCAGTACGCGCGCGACAACACCGCTCTTCAGTACGCGCGCGACAACACCGCTCTTCAGTACGCGCGCGACAACACCGCTCTTCAGTACGCGCGCGACAACACCGCTCTTCAGTACGCGCGCGACAACACCGCTCTTCAGTACGCGCGCGACAACACCGCTCTTCAGTACGCGCGCGACAACACCGCTCTTCAGTACGCGCGCGACAACACCGCTCTTCAGTACGCGCGCGACAACACCGCTCTTCAGTACGCGCGCGACAACACCGCTCTTCAGTACGCGCGCGACAACACCGCTCTTCAGTACGTGCGCGACAACACCGCTCTTCAGTACGCGCGCATTCACTCTGCAGATCTGCACCAATTTTTCTGATCTGTTCAGAAGAAATAATTAAAACTGTTAATAATGACATTTGAGGACTTTTTTTTGTGAAATCCCTTATGCTGCCCAGCCTCACCCAGACTTTGCCTCCTGCGGCCCCCAGGTAAGTTAAGTTTGAGACCCCTGCACTAAATAAAAATGGTTAATTGTAAATTGTTGCAAACAACTCATATGTATGGTGGCTGAGAGAGCTAAACGCTGCATTTTAATAAAGCACATGCAATTAAAAAAACACCAGCAAATAAAGAGACAATCTTCATCAATTTGAGAGCACACACGTTGCAAATTCTTACAACACACACAACTTGAGAAACGCGCTGCAAATCAGTCACAACTCTTGCAAACTTGCACGTAACACAATGGAAATGTTTCAAGAGGACCCAAAACCATGACGGATCCTGCTGAGATATGTATGCGTTTTTTTTATTTATGTAGTGTAATCACGATATTAAAATAAACAAAAAACAATTCACCTTTTAAAGACCACCAATCACTTCACTGAGCAACAGTCACGGCATCCGTCATGGTTTTGGGTCCCCTAGAAATATTTCCGTTGTGTTAAGTGCATATATGCAAGTGCGGTGACCTATTTGCTGCACGTTTCTTTAGTTGTTTGTGTTGTTGCGACCAATTTGCTGCGCGTTTCTTCAGTTTTTTGTGTTGTGACTGATTTGTAACACGTGTGTTGTCAAATTGATGAAGATCGTCTCAGAATTTGATGTGTTTTTTTGTAATTGCATATGCTTTCTTAAATTGCAGTGCATTAAGCTCTCATGGCCACCGTACATATGGGCTGAATTTAAACAAACAAATTAAGCTGAACATCACTAAATTTATTAACTTTGTTTAAATTCAGCCCATAGTTCAGCCGTCAGTTTATAACAATTTACGTTAAAAAATGTAGCAAATACAATTAATAATTTTGTCATTCTACTTTTTTAATAAAACAAAAAGCTTTTTTTTCTGCAAGTTAAATGGTTAGGAAGGTTAATAGACGTTTAGGAAGATGGTTGACACATGCTGCATTTCTGCATGCACATTATAAGCAAGCAAACTGCACAGGGTTCATGTAGCATGACTGTCCTGCAAAATAAGATGCTGGTTTTACTTTTACTAAATGTGCAACCACACATCTTATTTGGCTGGCTTGATTTGGGACTTGTGGAGCTGCACATTGATGTTTCTGCTCTTCAGTGTTTGGACTTTCAGCAGTGAAAATTAAACCATACTGAAATGAACAGAACTGTTGTTAAGCGGCTTTCACACAATCTACATAGTAAAAACACTATAGAAATTAAGATGAATTAATATGAATTATTTGACAGAAGAGATTCATCAGTGTCTGTCAAATAATAATAAAACATTTCATAGTAATTCAATTATATAGTTTTGTGTTGTCAAAAAATTAATCCAAAATAAAAGCTAGTGTTTACATATTACATACATGTACTGTGCATATTTATTTATTTATTTTTTGCCCATCTATCTATCTATCTATCTATCTATCTATCTATCTATCTATCTATCTATCTATCTATCTATCTATCTATCTATCCATCCATCCATCCATCCATCCATCCATCCATCCATCCATCCATCCATCCATCCATCCATCCATCCATGCACCCATCCATCTATTTATATATATACATAAACGCTAACAAAAAAGTTTAAATTATTTTATTTTTTATTTTTTGTATTTATTTAATAAAAAATATACATCAATCATGATTAATTGTTTGACAGCACTACATTTTTTATACTTACTTTATTTTTATGTTTATTATTACTCTGCAAGGCAAAACGTATTTATAGAGCACAATTTAACACAACCAAAGTTGATCAAAAGTGCTTTACAATAAAAAAAAAATAGTATTATTTTTCCTTATTATTTTAATTGCAAAACTTACTTGTGCGGTTTAGACAAATACCAAAAATCTTTAAAAACACTTGAAAAAAAAAGAGGGAAAACATTTAGACAGAATGAACTCACTCAGTGGCTGTAATATCTTCATTCGAGTGTCCGGCCTCGTCCTCTGATTGGTCGCTCAGCAGGTCACACGGCAGTAAGGAGGTGGAGTCAGCAATCTCCAAAACGGGCGCTATACTTGGTCGTCGACTTCCCAGTTCGTTCTCTGTGGGCGGAGCCAGTTTGAGTCCGCTCTCAGTGGGACTGGTGTTCTGAAAATCCATGGCAACCGTTCCTGAAAACGGACAGTTAAAGAACAAGCTAAATCAAAATTAACTGTATGGATTTCGTTAGATTAGATTAGATTCAACTTTATTGTCATTACACATGTACAAGTACAATGCAACGAAATGCAGTTTAGGTCTAACCAGCAGTGCAATAGCAGCAAGGGCAGGATACAGGTATAAGTTATAAAGTGCAGTTATAGAAAAATTATAGTGATATTTACAGATAGATGTAAGGCTCACATCATGCTAGTTTTGTCCAGAACAATTCATCTGTGCATGTCACTAAGAAGAAAAAATAGTTTGCTCTAGTAGTCTTTAAATGAAATCTGAAAATGCATTCCTGTTTGTTTTCAGTTAAATTCTCAGATGAGGTCTGTCTGAGGTATTGGGGTTGGCTAACACACTTAACCACGCCCCTCCTGCTGTCAGTTTTGACAACAAACAGAAATGGTGAGGAGGAGGAGTCTCTTAGGCTGTAATAACTCAAACTATTTCCCCCATTTTACTGAATGAAATGCCTATTTTACTACAGCTAATCAGCTCGCAGCAGAAAAACAAGCCACTCCCACTGTTTTCTCATTTAACATTGGGTTTCTCTAGGAACTGCGTAACAATATGAAAAAATTTTTTTTTAAAAGGTCGCTGCTTTTGGTTTATACAGACTTCAAAGAAACAGTCGAGATCCAGAAATAAAAACACGTTTATTTATTCATTTCTCCACAGGGAAATTTAACAAATGAACCTTTAAAAAGAGACCAAAATGTGAGCTTATGCAGAAAACCACATTTCCCATGATGCTGTACAGTCAATCCACAAATTAGAGAGTTACAATGTAATGTGTAATTTTATATAGCGCATTTATTGTGTATGGCCATAAACCCAAAGCGCGGCATAATCATGAGGGGCGGGGTCTCTCCACACCACCACTAGTGTGCAGCATCCACTTGGATGATGCGACGGCAGCCACGGGACAATGGGGCCAGTGTGCTCGCCACACACCAGCAATTGGTGGAGTGGAGAGACAGTGATAGAGCCAATTCGGTGGATGGGGATGATTGGGAGGCCATGATCATAAGAGCAGATTGAGGGACTTTGGCCAGGACACCAGGGATACAACCCTACTCTTCACGAGAAGTGCCATGGGATTTTTAATGACCACAGAGAGTCAGGACCTCGGTTTAACGTCTCATCTGAAAGACGGCGCCCACTGACAGTATAGTGTCCCCTTCACTATACTGGGGCATTATGGGACTGACCAGGCTCAGCCCTGCTAAGCTTCAGTGAGTAACCAGTCTTGGGAAAAGTCTTTGCAAAAGCCAGAGATAAAGATCTATTTGTCACACTTTGAACACTGAACGGTGGAATTTATTCACAAACTTTCACAAAGCATCATGGGTAATGTTGTTTATCACAACAAATTCTACTGTAAATGGCATAGTTCATGCAAAAATGTAATTTACTCTCTCGAAAGTGGCTCCAAGAGTTTCTTCTGTTGAACGCTAAAGAAGATATTTTGATAAAAGCTGAAAACCTGTAACCACTGACCTTTATAGTAGGAAAAACAAATACTATAGAAGTCAATGGTTAATAATAATAATAATAATAATTCCTTACGTTTATATAGCGCTTTTCTGGGCACTCAAAGCGCTTTCCACTCATCCACCACCAGTGTGCAGCATCCACCTAGATGACGCGACGGCAGCCATTTTGCGCCAGACCTCACACCACACACCAGCTGATTGGTGGAGAGGAGACAGTGATGAAGCCAATTGGAATATGGGGATGGTTAGGAGGCCATGATGGACAAGGGCCAGTGGGCAGATTTGGCCAGGATGCCGGGGTTAAACCCCTCTACTCTAACAGGTTACAGGTTTCCAACATATTTAAAATATGCTGTTTTTCTTTAAGAACAAAGCTCATAAAGGTTTGGAAGCAGTGAAGGATGAGTAAATGATGACATTCATTCATTCACCTTCACCTTAGTCCTTTATTTATAAGGGGTTGCTACAGCAAAATGAACCACCAACTATTCCAGCATATGTTTTACGCAGCGGATGTCCTTCCAGTCGCAGCCCAGTGCTGGTAAACACCCAATTACACTATGTTTTTTTTTTACTACATCCAATTCACCTATAGCGCATGTCTTTGGACTGTGGGGGGAAACCGGAGCACCTGCATGAAACCCACATCAACACGGGGAGAACATGCAAACACCACACAGAAATGCCAACTGACCCAGCCGGGACTTGAATCAGTGATCTTCTTGCTGTGAGGCAACAGTGCTAACCACTGAGCTACCATGCCGCATGAATAAATAATGACCTTCAGAGCTCACAACAGATATATCATTAAGTTTTCCATCGAAGATCTTCCCAATGGAAAAACTTAATGGCATTTTAACCACCCACCAAAACCACTTCATGTGTATCTTCTCTCCATTCTCTCTTACCCATGCTAGCAATAATGCTATGAACAGGTAGTCCTGACGGGCTGTTTAAAAAGTCGCAGTGGCTCCGCCCCTTTCCCTGGTCTTCCTCCTGTCTGAAGATGAAGGCGGAGTTTTCCTCTTTCGTGATGTTGATGTAGTAACAGGTGTCGCTGGCAGACATGATGTGTCGCGGTCCAGGGTTCAACAAGATGCTCTTATTATCTTCTCTCTTCACACCAATCATACACACACCGTACCTAAACACAACAGAGTTCTTACACATTTTCCAAATTGGATATAAAGCTCCTGTTGAAATTAAAATAAAGTTTTTTTTAAAGATGTTAGTAGTAAAAATACTATCAGTTTTAAGGATATTCAAAACTGATATAAACATAAAAAACATGTAAAGCTTGCAGTTTGCCACTTCCGCCTGATCAACTATTTTTTTTACATCAATCCTTTCTTTTCAAACCTATCTGACGTGTCCCGCCCCCTTTAAGACGCTTCTCATTTGCTTACATTTGATTTCATTCCATTTGATGGACTTAAGCTCAACCACTCTCACTGGCAGAGCTGTGATGAAATAAAACGCTACTGGCTGTTTTTTTTAAGTGGGAGGAGCTACTCTATTTCCCGCCCTCTCTTCATGTTTCAGTTTAAATTACACTGAACATCGAATAAAAATGCCCAGTTCAAAGCACTTCAAGGGATCTTTAAGCACTTTTCCAAGTGGATTTTTCAAACCTTTACAGCACAACTATTACAAGTGTGGCAAACTACATATTTACATACATTCACTTTATCACAGCTTATTCAATAGCTGTCTGGAACACTCAATTCTGATTGGTCAGTCACAATATTATAAGGTATAACCTCTATGTAATGTGGGCTCATCCAGGATCTTTGAATCACCTTGACCATCCATGAATATGTTCAAATTCATATATCTGCATTGTTTTGACTGTTTTTAACAATTTGGCACAGTCTTGTGAATGAATAATACGTAGGTTAGTCTAGGCTTCTTAGCCAGTTTTATTTTTGGCACCACCTTGTGTCTGAATAATGGGCAGGTGTATACTCCATCAGCTTTGTGTTTAATTAAAGAAATAATAAAATATTAAGGCTATATATATATATATATATATATATATATATATATATGGATTATAATTGTATATATATATATATATATATATATATATATATATATATATATATATATATATATAAATATGGATTTGAATTTTATATATATATATATATATATATATATATATATATATATTGTGTCTGTTTTTTATGTTTTGTGGCAATAAATGTGATAAAATGCATCCAGAATGGGTTGTTTTTGCACAATAAAGCCTTGTAGTCTTATACAACAGTGCTCTGCTTCACGTCGGGTTGCAGATAAGACTGTTGGGTTTTATTCTGCGATAACAACCTCCTGGATATTTCCATAACATATCAGATACTATTTGTTATAGTATTCTATGTTATGATAGAATATTCTAGGGAACAATTTTGATGGCATATTTACCCCAATCCCTCACTGAATTACAGCCATTTACTCACATCTTAAATATGTATTACATGCATCTTTCATCTTGAAATTTATATTGATTTTAATTTCAAACGGTGTAGAGATAGGCAGATCAGGCTACTTGGGCAGACTCCCGAGTTTTAATTTAATGCAAAAGCAAAAATATTTATTTAAGTATTTAATTGTTATTACACGCATATATATATATATATATATATATATATATATATATATATATATATATATATATATATATATATATGTATGTATGTATGTATGTATGTATGTATGTATGTATGTATATATATATATATATATATATATATATGTATATATATATATATATATATATATATATATATATATATATATATATATATATATATATATATATATATATATGTTAGTAAGATAAGTTATTATGAAAACAAAACCAAAACAATACAGCAAGATAAAAGATTAAGATTGTTTGAATATTTCAACAATATTTGAATATTTGGGTTGTATTTCATATATTTTTTATTATTGTGCACACAATATTTATACACAGTGAGTACACATTCATTATACTGTATAAATGCAAACTTTTATTTTGGATGTGATCAATTATGACTAATCATGTGATGGCTCTAGATTTTCTATCTTTTTCCTTTTTAAGCACTTAATACTAATTATAGTTAATAATTTGTATCCTTAAATTAAGATAAATCATTAAGAAATCTAAACAAATACATTTTTAAACAGTTTTATGCACTTTATCCAAAATAATAATTTTTCAAACCATGAAAACACTTGATTAATAGTCTAAAGCCAAAAGGATGAAGCCTGACACAAACATCCTGACAGTACAATTTTTCATAGGTGTACACCTACTTTTTGTGAGCGTGAAAGGCAGCATAGGTAAAGCTTTTGCTGTTGTACTCCCTGAAGAACATACTGTCACCCAGGCGGATATGATAGACCTCATTACCCGAACATCGACCATACATCCTCTGCCACTGCTCCGGAGACTGCTGGCCCTCTCTAAAAGAGTAAAGAAGTGTTATTTAACTATATACTTATTTTTATAATTATATAGTTATAGAACTATATAATTTTAATTATATTAAACTTTTATTAACAATTATTATTTGCAGGAAAGTGGATATGATTAAATGCTTTGTGATGTGCATGAAAAAGCACTGATTTTTGTTTGTGCTTACCCAGTTTGAATTGGTTTGATCAATGATGCAGTAAAATGTGAAATATTTTTACAATTAAAAAATAATGTCTTTATATGTGAATATAATTTAACATTTAATTTATTCCAGTAATGAAATAATAAATTTTCAGCATAATTGAGTCTTCACCATTACATAACGGAATAAGGAAATATTTTTCTTTATTTAAAGAAAGAAAAGAAATATTTTTTATATGCTGATTTGATGCTTAAGAAACAATTATTATTATCTTAGTTTTTTTTAGGATTTTGTGATGAATAAATAGTTTATATTTGAATATAAATATCTTGTAAAATACATTATAAATAATATAATATAGTTAGTATAAAAACTTTATAAATTTATTTACTTTTAATCTATATAATGTTTCTTTGCTATATAAAAAATATGGTCCCACTTTATATTAAGTGTCCTACACTACTATGTACTTACATAAAAAAAAATAAATACAATGTACTTACTGTGTTTATAATGTATTTGAGAACACTTGTGGTGCTTTTGAGTTGGGAAAGAGGTTGTGTTATGGACAGGTTTGTTGGTGTGGATAGGTTTAAGGGTGGGTTAAGGTGTAAGGGATAGTCAACAGTGTATTTACAAATGTAAATACAAAAGTTAATTACAGATGTAGTTGCATACAGGTATTTAATCAAGCATAAGTACACAGTAAATACATGTATTTACACAATAAGTACATTATAACAATCTATTAATTCCTGTTTAAGTACATATTAGTTAAGGCCACTTAATATAAATATAAATATTATATAAGTACAAAAAAAAAAACAGTACTGTATCATGGTGTATTTAGACAACCAATTTAAAAGTTGTAAGCATTTTTCAGTTCCATGTGGTAGCGCTAGTAGCTCAGAAGTAACACCATTAAAAAATCTAGGAGTGTTGTAAACTCACTGTCCGCGAGATGTGTGAACCAGTAAAGTGATCAGAGTAGAAGTGGCCGGACACAGACAGTTCAGAGCCAACATGGCGTATTTAAACTCTTCCTCACACACAACGTGATCTGCAGGAAGAAACAGACATGCTGCTTAGTGCTGAGCCAAAATGGCTGCCGTGAAAACAACTGAGGGTGCGTCTCAATCAGATTTGTGCTCAAATTTGTGCTTCAGCATGTCCATTAAATAGGACCCATTCTGCCACTTTTTACAAGATGCAAGTCTCTGATGGAGCCTAAAATCAGAAAGTAATATAAATATTTTTAGTAGTGTTCGTAAAAAGTGGTTAACAGCAGTGTTTGCACAAAAAGTCTAATGTTCTGTACTGGATCATGTCGCCTTTGTTTTTGCCTTCAGCAATTTTATGTAGGGAATTATAATGTTGTGTAAATGTATTTATTATAATTAAATTTTATCAAGCCTCCTTTGGACAGGTGTTGAGAATTAGCAAGTTTGCTAAAACACTTAAACAAATGCATTTAGTTATCCATTGTAATTGTGATGTCCATGTCAAATAAATAAATAAATAAACACATATGTAGTGTTGTGCCTCCAGGAACAGGAATGAGAAACAGTGATATAGAGCAATGGTTCTCAAAGAGGTGGTCGGGACCCCGCGAGGGGTCGCGGAACAAAGAAGGGAGGGTCGCTTGGTAGTTTCCAAAAATCTATTTATTTTTATTAAGCCATAAGAATTACCATATTTGATCCATAACCTACTGAAGAGAAAAAAAATAGTAGTTTATACCATTTATAGTTACTATAGTAGCTTATAGTTATTACTTCTATTGGATTGCAACCCCTGCGGTAATTACATTGTATTAAAGACACAGCAATAGCATCAGATGCAGCAGATTTCATAACACCTGCTTAAACTTTGTGGCCCATTTACAGCTCTCATACATTAAAAAAATTAAAAGAAGAATAGACTTGAGTCCATTGGTGTGTGTGCGCCATTGCATGCAAGGTTTCTGTATTTATAACAACCTCAGAGGATATTGGGGGTCGCGAGTCACTGGCATAGTCATTTTGGGGGTCGTGGCCTGAAAAGTTTGGGAACCACTGATATAGAGAATTAAAGCGGGAAGAAATCGAACTCATCACGCACAATGTTAAATTAATTAGTACCTGCAAATTTAACATGGAATTTGTTTTCGGGTTTAAGGATCTGGACATACAGAGGGCAGTTTGGAGCGAAGTCTTTCACAGCCCAAGCCCTCAGAATGGTCTGGTGATCCTGTCAACACATCAAGAATACACTGTCAAAACAACATTACTGCTTTAAACTGTTTAGTTAATTCAAACGAAAGTTTCTAGTCATCTCAGCTTACATTAGTCAAACTGATTAAGTTGGTAACACTTTAGTTTAGGTCACAATCCACACTGTTAACAAGCCATTAGCTAACAATGCTACCTTAATAAACTACTAATTAGCTGTTGATTAAGGTAGAAGTTGGGATTAGGTTTTGAAACTTGGGTATGCAGAATAAGATCATAGTTTATAACTACTAATGAACAGTTAGGCGCCCAATCCCAATTCTATTTTTGTACCCCTACCCTTTCCCCTAGGCCCTTAAAAACGAGTGTGAAGGGGAAGGGCTTGAAAATGTACCCCTAGGAATTGGGACAGCACTACAGCACCTGCACACGTCATCATATGTCATCGTGATCTCTTGCTTCATATGAGATCAGACGATGGGGACTGCTGTAGTGATTCCAGTTTTGTTATTTTTGGGGTGTTTATCTTCAGGAAATCCCTGAAGGCATATGTTATGTAATCATTACAATCTAATGTGGCAATAAGATCGTTACTATACTGTGTATTTACACAGTGGCCATATTTATGTATGTAAACACACCAAAAACAACATTAACATTATAGCAGACACTGTGAAAAGCTCATTCCCAGCCACTAAACGATTCTGACAGGGTATTCGAGTGTCATTGAGTGTCCAAATGTTGTGGGACTGCTCTACAGGAGTTATGAATATGGATTATAGAGAGCAAAATATAGCGGTTTTTATTTTAGTATTTTTTTTTTAAAATAAAAGCATGACGGTAAAACACGAACGCGGTTATGAATAGAATAAAACATATTCTGGGGCTCAAACCAGTGACCTTCTTGCTGTGAGGCGACAGCGCTACCCACTGTGCCACTGCTCTGCCCAAGCCCTTAACATGCACTATATCATTCAGCTAGAACTACACGTTCATCTAAAAAATCTCTAATGTTTTACTAAAAGGACATCTTGGATGACATTGGGTGAATTAACACTGAATTTACATTTCTGGGTAAACTATGCCTTTAAATTTGCTTGTAAATCAATGTTGTGTGCACTTATTTCTCAATTTTTCTATTATATACATTATTATTGTAGTATTACCTGCTTATTGGCTGTAATTACTGATTGTTATTATTGAATATTAATGCGTGCCCCTTAAGTATTAACTATATAGAAGTTCATTTATTAATCTGGAGACTCACTGCTGCCATGCGATCCGCTTCATTCCTGCTGCTAAGAATAAAACATGCCTCCGCATCGTCCATCCTACAGAAAAAAAAATGACCAATCACTGATAGACGTTAACAATGCAGACCAATCACAGTAGGGCATTAACAAAACAGACCAATCTCAGATGCTGAATTTGATGTTATTCTGGTTCGATTCTTGCATTCAAATAATGTGTAAACAGTATAAAACCAAAAATTGGTATAAACTGTAAAAAAAAAAAAAAAAAACATTTGTAAAAAAATAATGGACAAAAAAAATTATATACGCCACATTGCATTAAAAAAACTACAATATTATAACTATTGCAACAGTAAATGAAAAGTAAATAAAACTATATTTTATGAATGAACTGTCAAAAAAATATATATTAAAAAAAATCTTTAAAATGAGGTGTTGAAAAAGACAGCCAAGAATGTAACCAATTTTTAAATGGTATGAATTGTGTGGAGGGAAATATAAAAATGCAATATAAGGTAATATTAATATAATTCAATATAATATTTAATATAAGAATGCAGAACAAAATATTATACACCAACTACCATTTTTCTAATTTTATTTTAATCGTTTCAACCAAATATGCAAATAAGGTTTGCTGTGATTGGTCAATGAGGCTGTCACTCACTTGGCTCTCAGCAAATCCTGGTTTTTGAGGGCGGAGCCTTGAAGATAAATGACCCTCTGTGACCAGAGAGGAATCTGTAAAATCCTCCTGACCTGAACGTCCACTTCACACGGACACAAGATGACCACATAATAATCCTGAACACACACAACACAACAAAATTAAAAAACATTCTGCAACTTAATCACTTTTTAAATACTTCTTTTGCGTTTTCTAACTTTTTCAACACTTTATAAGTGTGGCAAATGACATATTTAACCACATATACAGGGCTCAGCAGAGATGAGTGCACTCGCTTTTAAAAAATGTATATTTCTATCAATTTCTTAGCAAATATAGGCAATCATTTTGTTTGAATCGTTTTATTCAACAGATATTCATTAATGTAAGAGTTTGGTCATCAAACATCTTTAGCAATAGAGAGATAATACATTTAAATTCAAACGAATTATTGCAACAACAACAACAACAACAAAAAAAAAAATTACAAACTACAAAATTTTAACTTTTTAAAAAATGTTATTTCAACAAAATGGGTGTACTTGCTAGCGAGAACGGCAGTCACTCGCTGTTTTCAAGAAACGACTAAAAACTCAACTATTTAGTCTCCACTTCACTTCCTAATCTGCAATTGCCTCTATGGATATACCACTAACTGTACTCAAAAATAAATAAATAAATAAATGTACTAATGCTTTCCTTCTTAGACTTTACAGACCTGAAACTTGCCTACAGCACTTATTCATTGTTGCTCTTATAGTTGTGTAAATTGCTTCCTTGTCCTCATTTGTAAGTCGCTTTGGATAAAAGCGTCAGCTAAATGACTAAATGTGAATGTAAATGTACTTATTTTTTAATCACTTTATTCTCAAAACAGAATGACTTTCTTAAAATATTACAAGTTTTTACAAAATTAAAAAAATTACTTTTTCTTTGAATTTATTGAGTGTACTCTGAGCATTTTATCTAGGCGTCTTCTCAAAATTTCATAAGTTTTTTCATGAAAATTAAAAAATTTGTCTTAAATTTATGCTTATTTGTCTTTGAATTTCAAAGGCATTTGTTTTTTTAAAAGACAGGCACATGCGTAAAATCCAGAGTTTTCTCCAAAGAGATTTAGTTTAATTTAAATGTATTTATTCCTTTTCCTTCGACTTAATCTCTTTTATTTATTAGGGGTCGCTACATTGGGATGAACCGCCAACTTATCCAGCATATGTTTTTTACAGCGGATGCCCTTTCAGCCGCAACCCAGTTCTGGGAAACACCCATGCACTGTGACCAATTTAGTTCATTCACTTCACCTATAGCGCATGTGTTTGGACTGTGGGGGTAATTGGAACACTCGGAGAAACCCACACAACACGAGGAGAACATGCAAACTCCACACAGAAATGCCAACTGGCATTGCTGTCAGGCAACATGCTAACCACTGAGCCTCTGTGCTGCCCCAATCTGTTTTGTTGTTGTTGTTGTTTTTTTAGGGGGGTGCAGTTCTGGTGGAGTAAGTGGCAAGACTGAGTAGCCTATGGTCACTTAAACATGTACCTGTCATTATAAAATGTCTGGTCTCAGAAACTCGAAACTACTTTCTTGCTGTGAGGCGACAGTGCTAACCACTGAGCCGCCTTCTTAGCTTTTTATTACATTTTTTTTATTTAAAATGTAAATTTTTTACATGAAAAATATCTTTTTTCTCTGATTTTAATGAGCATCTCAGCATTTTATTTGGACTGTTTAATCAGTATTTAACAGGTTTAATCTTGCACTATAATGACTTTAATATTGAGATGTTTTTGTTTTGTTTTTTTATTGGTTGGCACTAATTAATAAATTTTTTTTTTATTGTTGCTAGGCCCTAACCCTCTTTTACTGTATATCGTCACATAATGTCAGATGCTAATGGTTATTTTATTCTATAGTATAATTCTAAGGACATTATTGATAGCATGTTTGAACATTCAACCATTGCCATTTACTCTCTAAAATGTCTTTAACTTGCATCTTAAATCTCTATTTATTTTCATTTTAAAGGTCACAGATTTAAAAAAAAAAGACATCCTCAGATTCCAGAGTTTTTATTTTCAACAAAAGCAAAGAAATTTATTTTACGTATATTACTTATTTTATTTATATTACGTGTTATTTCCAATTTAGGAAGATCAATTATTATGACAACTAAACATGATAATATCTGTTAAATCCACACAGAGGCAGATTATTCACCTGTGTGTGGGGGTGAGCGTAGAACTCATTGAGAAAGTCCATCAGCAGGTCGATTTTCAGAGTACTGACACATAAAACCACGTGTCTCTCTGTCTGAGCGCGATGCCTGCTGTAGTTTCCTCCAGATTTCTGTCTTTCCATCCACAGATAAATCAACTCCTCAAACTACAGACACAGAAGATGAGGAAAGAACAACCATGATGGTGAAAATGCAGATTATGATGAGGAAACATTACTAATTTATTATCAAGTAAGTATTGTGTAGACTGACAGCAGTTTGTTATCCAATAAATTGAGTACATATTATATCAATACATATATTTAAGCATGTCTGTGAGTGTGATGTGACCTGAAGCGGCAGCACGACGAGGGCCACGCAGATCATCACCACCACCAGCAGCTGAGAAGGCCAGATCTGGGGCGTTACGTCCCCGAAACCCACCGTTGAGAAGGTCACGATGCAGAAATACAGAGCGTTGAAGAGCGACAGACTCTTCTTACCTGCCCGCTCCAAATGCTGGATCCCACACGTGCTGAAAGACACAGAAAACCCCACTGTAGGACAGGGGTCACCAATCTCGCTCCTGGAAGGCCAGTGTCCCTGCAGGGTTTAGCTCCAACTTGCTTCAACACACCTGCCTGGATGTTGCAAGTATACCTAGTAAGACCTTGATTAGCTTGCTCAAGTGTGTTTGATTAGGGTTGGAGCTAAGATCTGTCGGACACCGACCCTCCAGGAACAAGTTTGGTGACCCCTGCTGTAGGAGATCTGAGAAACAGTAGAGTAAACAAAAACGAAGGGGGAGGGGCTAGTGCTAGTTAAGCCCCGCCCCTCCTTGTTCTGCAGATCTGAAAATTTGTTTATTTTCTAAATAGAGCCACTGTGTCGCCCCTCATATTAAAATGAAAATAGCAATTGTAATTATTAATAAAACATGAAAAATAAATACGCATTACATTGCATTTAAAAATTAAGTAATTAGTGAGTAAAAAGATTTACTAAGACTTGTTTTATGAAAATAAAGAATCTTTCGCTTTTATAAACTAATTAAACTGGTTAAAATAGTGTTGTCCTACCATTTTGTGACCCATTTGTTTCAGTTGACCTGCTTTTCAAATTAGTTAGATTGTTTTAATTCGTTTAGAACCAGGGCTGTACATTAACACCCGCCAACCCGCCAAATGCGGGTAGATTTCAGCTTTGGCGGGTCAGACAGTCACTCCCACTAGCCACTTTGGCTGGTTGAAAATAATTTTTAAACTGTGGTTTTCTCAAAAGCAGGGTTCGAAAAAGAAGAAGGAAAGCAAATAAATACCGAATGAGAGGATGATCACTTGCGCTAACAGCTGATGTAAGGCGCGAGACTCTTTAAAGTGCGTGCGCGCTCCTGTTTCCTTCCTTGAAGCACGCCTGCCTTGAACGAATCTGTGATCGGATTTCTTTCAAATAGTCAGGCAAAAAAGTAATGCTAATGCACACATAGTCTTGCTGCTTTCAAGAGTTCCAAATA